AGACTGCCCAGCAGTGTAATGCAACTATACACCCACAAAAATTAATTTTAAAAAGGATAGTTAAAGGGGATGGTTCCAAAGCCCCCGAGAGGGTATTCAAGTTCCTGGAAGTGGGAAAACTATCCAGCCCTGTGCCAGCCCTGAGGGGCCACAGAAAAGTGTAGCCCCCTCCAGAGGAAGCCAGAGGCAGCCCCAGGGAGGGGACGGGAGCGAGGCAGCTCAGGGTGGCTACACGAGAGGTCTGCTGACCGGGGGTCTGGGCCAGCCCCGGCGAGGCTGTGTAAATGAATGAGCTTCACGATAACTGAAGTCAGTTTAGGGCTTAGTTGCCTCTATCAGCCACTTCTCTTTAACCAGCTTTGAGTCTTCAAATTGGCTTGCGAACTCTCAAGGAGAGAGCAGTGTTTCCTCTTATTCCACACCGTTTAGCCAAGGTCCGAAACACAGGATGCACCTGAGGATGCGGGGCCAGGGATGGAGAGAAAGGTTTTCAGGTCTCAGTCCACGAGGAGCTGGAGGTGTGAGTGTAGACAGCCCCTCACTTTCTGCGCCTCATTCCAAGTCTGCAGAGTGAGGACCATGGGCATGCACCCCTAGAGGACCTACTCAGCTTGAGCATGTGTGAGCGGGGGAGTCGCATGCATTTGGAAGGAACACGCACTTGGATGGATCACACACTTGCATGGAGGCTTCCCAGGTGGCACCTGCCAAAGAATCCACCTGCCAATGCAGGAGATGCAAGGGGCGCAAGTTTAGTCCCTGCGTCAGTAAGAGCCCCTGGAGGAGGAAATGGCAACCCACTCCAGCATTCTTGCCTGGAAAGTTCAACAGACAGAAGTGTCTGGTGGGCTACAGTCCATGGGGTCACAAAGAGTTGGACACGCCTGAATGACTGAGCGCACACACTTGGATGAGCCACAAACACGGATGGACCGCACTCTTGGACCAGGCACCTGGAGGGACCAGTCACCTTCAAACACTTGCTCCTTGCTATCCAAAGTGAGATGCATGGAACGGCAGCATCAGTGACGTGTGAGAGCTCGTGGGATGAGTCTCAGTCCCCAGACCTGCTGGGCCCACCTGCATGTGATCACATGTGACCAGCATCCCCAGGTCAGCCACACCCACAGTCAAGTTCCAAGAGCCCTTCATCCCGTCCATGTGCATGCTGTGCGCTCAGTCACTCGGCCGTGCCCGATTCTCTGCAACCCCATGGACTGTAGCCCGCCTGGCTCCTCTGTCCATGCGATTCTCCAGGCAGGAGCGCTGGAGTGGGTTGCCGTGCCCTCCTCTGGAGATCTTCCCAGAGGGATTGAACCTGCATCTCCTGCACTGCAGGCAGATTCTCCACCACTGAGCCACCTGCAAAGCCCCGTCCTGTTCATGGGACTTGCCAAAATGCCCATAAGAATCAATCCATGGCTGTTGAATAGACGAGTCCAGGACTCCTGCTATCTGATCCTGATTTGCTAAGGCTGCCTTAACAAAGTGCCACCGACTTGGGGGCTTAAACTGCAGAGTTTATTCTCTCACCGTCTGGAGGCCAGGAGTCCGAGCTGAAGATGCTGGCAGAGCTGATTCCTTCTGAGCGCCTCCCCGGGCTTGTAGGTGGCTGCATGTGCCCATGTGGCCGTCCTCCTGTGCCTCCCTGCGTCTAAACACTCCTTTCTATAAACATTGGTCTAGTTGGACTAAGGGCCCACCCTCTGCCGGGATGACCTCATCTTAACGTATTATGTCTGCAGGGACCTGTTTCCAAATGTCACATTCCAGAGTGTTGGGAGGTAGGCCTTTGATACTTGAATTCTAGGGAGTTCAACTCATAGTGGGACCTAGGAACCCGGGTTTATACAAAGTGTCCCCAGAGATTCGGAGGCACAGCCAGGTTTGGGGACCTCTGGGCTTGGCCGCCAAGCTGGGCACACTGGCCAGGGCAGGGTGTGTGGGTGGAGGGGCCGCTGGCGCGGGAAGCTTGTCTCCAAGGCCCCAACTTGTAGCCCCTTCCACGGCCTTGACACACCATCACTCTCTCAGTCCCTGGGGTTGCTAAGCGCCCTCCTCATCTCCCTTCTCTACACTTCTATTCCTCCCCAGAGGGGTCCTGGGGGCCTTCTGGGTGGCGGTGCCTGTGCGGGAAGGCACAGCCTCGCAGCCTGGACCCCAAGGCTCAGAGGGCGAGGAGCCATAAGCAGGAGCATCCTGGTCGCCTCCTGCGGGGCAGACACGTGGGGACTCTGCCCTGCTTCCGGTCGCCCGCTTTCCTCCTGGGATTCCATCACAGCTGTAAGCCCTGACGTCTCTGGAGGCTCAGCGGACCTCCTGTGCAGGACGGGAGCTCCTCTGTCAGGAGCGGGGCTCCTGTCGCAGTGGGAACAGCTGGGCAGCAGGAGTGGCACAGTCTGTGCTCACACTTCGGTACAGAGGCGCTTGGCGCGCCCTGGTCATCTGGGAGGCGGCCCCTGGTGTGCAGGCAGTTCATGGGCTTAGCTCAGGGTGCGAGGATGCCACCAGGGCCCGCCAAGCCCCCTGCACCTGCCGGGCACTCGAGGGAGATACACGTGAAGAGAAGCCGGGTGTGAACCTCAAGGTGATACAAAATCAGATTCAGCCCCAAACCATCATCCGGGGAACCACACACACACCTCGGCAGGGAGGCCAGCACCCTGTGGTGTGTCTGTTACGGCCACTGGTCGAAACCTTCCCCTCTCTGGAGACGGGAGTGTTCAGAAAGAAAGAGTCCATGGACGGCTGCCAAGAAGTGGGGGCGTCTGAACCCCTGGGCCGTTGAGCAGGTCAGCCGCGCTGCGGGCCCTGCAGGCCCATCTGGCCAGGGAGGCGCCGTGTCTCACTGGGCCCTTGATCTGACGCTCATGGAGGGGGCCTCGGTCAGAGCAAGCTGGCACGTCGGTGGTCCATTTCAGTCTCCTCCTGGGGCCGGGACGCCACTCTGCCATGGAGAAGCTATGTCTGCATACCTGCACGCTTTCAGGACCTGATTGGAGTGGAGACCCCAAAAGGGAAGCAATTTTTTAAAAAGCTAGTGATCTTCATCTCCCAGTGTATAGCGGGAACCATTTTTGAATTAATCAAAAGTTCAGCAGATCTCTGCTTTTTTCTCCCATCATAAATATACATGCACATCAACTGCCTTGCTTACGTATGTAACTGTATACTGTTAGGTTCTGGGAGCCAGGGTTCGGCCATGACCCTGGAGATGGAGACGTGTTGAGTGCCACGTTCCTCCTGAATTTCCAGACTTGGCCTGGGAGGTGGAGCCACACAGACTGCAAGGGCTCCACACGTCTGCTGGCACAGTCGCCCCAGATAACGGGGGCCTGACCCAGTCAGGGGAAAGGCCTCAGTAGCGGAGCAGAGGATTCCTGCACGGGGAGGGAACCCCGCCTGTGCCGAGGGGCCCAGCCCAACCTTCTCGAGGGTCTACCTTGCAGACGCAGACCAGCCCGGCTGGACCCCACAGTCACGGGAGCCGCGTCTGCACTGTGTCTGCACGGACGTCTCCTCCAGGCTTTCTCACCCCCAAACCTCAGTGCAGGGCTGAAGAATGAGTGGTTTATTCTTTATGCCCTTCACAGCTCACTGTTTGCACCAGCGTGTGCCCAGGGTTCACAGGCCACACGCACAGAAGTGACCCCTGGCGCCAGCCTTGACTGCTCACTCTGACCGTGAAGCCTCTCCATCGAGCTGCCCACCCAAGAGCCAGGAGACCACCCCTTGGCTCCCCCAATGCTGCCCCTTCGCCCCAAGGGGGAGCAATCATTCCTGACCTATCAGATGCAGCCCCACTGCTCTCCACCCTCCACTTCTCACCATCACTGCTGCTCTCCTGACCCTCACCTGGATGAGGTGCTAGGAGCCCATGTGACCCTCTTTCCTGTTTAGGACAGGACTGAGTTGGTAAAAGACTCCAAGGCAACTGTGTCGCTCAGAATGGGCTTGGTTGTGCAACAGGAAGAATCTAAAAACACCGGCATCTTTGCAAGGTATGCACTTCCCACCTCCAGCACACACCCATCACAGGCTGCGTGTGGGCGTACACACTCAGTTCAATTCAGTTCAGTTGCTCAGTCATGTCCAACTCTTTGCAACCCCACGGACTGCAGAACGCCAGGCCTCCCTGTCCATCACCAACTCCCGGAGCTTGCTCAAACTCATGCCCATAGAGTCGGTGATGCCATCCAGCCATCTCATCCTCTGTCATCCCCTTCTCCTCCTGCCTTCAATCTTTCCCAACATCAGGGTCTTTTCAAATGAGTCAGCTCTTTGCATCAGGTGGCCAAAGTATTGAAGTTTCAGCTTCAGCATCAGTCCTTCCAATGAATATTCAGGACTGATTTCCTTTAGGATGGATAGGTTGGGTCTCCTTGCGGTTCAAAGGACTCTCAAGAGTGTTCTTCAACACCACAGTTTAAAAGTATAAATTCTTCAGTGCTCAGCTTTCTTTAAAATCCAACTGTCACATCCATACATGGCTATTGGAAAAACCATAGCTTTGACTAGACGGACCTTTGTTGATAAAGTAATATCTCTGCTTTTTAATATGCTGTCTAGCTTGGTCATAGCTTTTCTTCCAAGGAGCAGGTATCTTTTAATTTCATGGCTGCAGTCACCATCTGCAGTTATTTTGGAGCTCAAAATGTTTCCCCATCTATTTGCCATGAAGTGATGGGGCTAGATGCCATGATGTTAGTTTTCTGAATGTTGAGTTTTAAGCCAGCACTCAGTCGTGTTCAACTCTTTGCGAGCCCATGGACTGTAGCCCCCAGGCTCCTCTGTCCATGGGATTTCCCAGACGAGAATACTGGAGTGGGTGGCCATGCCCTTCTCCAGGGGAACTTCCTGACTCAGGGGTTGAACCCACGTCTCTTGCATCCTCTGCTCTGGCGGGCAGATTCTTTACCACTGCTCCACCTGGGAAGCGGAGACGGATGTTATCTCCCACTGGTGCCAGGATACCTAGCCTGACTGCGTCTCCATCACAGCTGTGTCTGCTGCCACCGTCCAAGGGCAGGAGAGGCTACGACCGCCGCGAGCTGGCTCCTCTGGGGTCTGTGCAGAAGGACACCTGCCCGCGGCCGAGAACATCAGGCAGACACAGTGTCACCAGGCAGGGCCATCTGCCGCTCAGAGAGGGCAGCTCAGACACGCCGACGTCACCGGCCCCGCTCCGGCCTGGGTGCCGGAGAGCCAGCCGACGTTTTGTGGCACAGGTAAGACCCGGGTAGGGAGAGAGGCCTGCAGAGCCCACTCCCCCCGCAGGCCCGGGGAAGGAGGAGGCCTGGCGGGAGTGCCGCGTGCTCTGACCGCCCAGCCTGGAAGGAGTTTGCAGTGAGCCAGCCGCGGCCTTGGCAGGCTGGGGGTTCGGAGCAGAGGTGATGCTCTGAGTCTGTACCCTTGGAAATGACCCGGCTCCTCCAGAGGGATCCCAGCCCTTGTGGATGAGGACATGCTCAGGACGAATGTTCACTGTCTGTGCTGACCCCTCCCTGGGCACAGCCCCCCCAGGGAACCAGGCGGGTCCCTCGCTGGTTGTGGGAGGAGGCGTGGGGACCATGGGGCCTCAGAGGCTGTCCACATGGCCTGATGGGGTTTGGGCTTCGTGGGGACCCTGGGGGAAGGGTCAAGGCTGTGTCCCTTCTGGGACTCTTTCTGGAAGGAAGGGTAATTCTATGTTCAGTGTCTTTGTTTTTAAAGGGGATGTAAATCCCATAATATAAAAATTGCCCCTTTTAAAATGCCATTCTCTATTTTCTAGTATCTTCATAAGATTGTGCAAACATCACCCCATCTAATCACAGAAAACTCTCATTACCTGCTTAAAAGAAACCACAGCATGGGCAGTCCCTTCTCAACCCCGCTCCAGCCCCTGGCGACCACTCACCCACTTTGTGTCACCGTCTTTTGCCTGTTCTGGACATTTCCAGTGTATGGCCCAACTCGCATGCTAGGCGGTTTGCGGGACTGGCTTCTCTCTCTGAGCATCACGTTTTCAGAGTCCGTCCCTGCCGAAGCTGTGCCAGTGCTTTGCTCCTGTTCCTGTCTGAATGACACTAGTGCATGGATGGACCACATTTTCTTTATCCAGCTGGTGGACCTTTGGGTGGGTCCCACCTTTGGGGCTGTTATGAATAATAACAGTGCCATCAGCTCGTGGACGTCAAGGGGGAGGGCTGCCTGGTACAGGCTGAGGCGGAGTCGGGCAGAGGCCCCCTGGGACAGAGCCCGGCTGGGAGGAGGGCTGTCACCTCCGTGCTCTGCCGGGGGCCTCGTGTCTGTGCCTAGACTCCAGGGTGTGTCTCCTTTTTGTCGTCGCTGCGTCACAGAGGGACCTTGTCTCTGCTGGTCTCTGGGGAGGCAGCCTCCTGCCCATCAAGAGACATGGTGGCCTTGCTGGGCCCGCACGGCCCCTGTTTCAGGGTGACGTCCTGCACGAGGGCTTGGGTGGGCTCTGGTCTCGCCAGAAGGCTGCATGCTCAGGTCGCTCCCCCAGCTCACTGCCGCCCAGAGCCCCAGAATGGACAGAGTCCGCACCCGCCACGGGGACAGGCGGCCTGTCCCACTCCTGGACCTCCTCTTGGCTGCGGTGTCTGTCCAGGCCACCATGCCCACCACCTCCCCACCCTCTGCCTGGACCACCTCCTAAATGTCACTTGCAGAGACCCACCACCCCCACACGCATCCTTAAGGCTCTGTCCTTCTGCTTAATTCCTCTTCATGTGGGTATCAGAGAGCAGGACAGGGGTGGCGCCCACAGCAGGCGTTGATGAGTATTTACTTAGTGAAGGAACAGAGGCTTGGCGTCCCTGCCTCTGTCCACCCTCCAGGCAGCCTGGCTCAGACCGCCGCCTCTTACTGGACGGTTCTTACAGGGCGTCTCCCTGTGCTCCTGTCTACTTGGCCTTAATCTAAACCTTCTCAAGCGCAGAAGTGGCCACAACGGGGAGGGACCACGTCCCCACCTCTCTGGTATCCCTGCCATGAGTGACGTGGCCGGTGGCACTTTGGGGAGGGCAGCCTCAGCTGTGAGGACACCTCGCTGCCCCCAGGCCCCTCTGTGCTGGCCCCTCACTGGGCACCTCGGATCCAGGACCCCATGTGGTCAGACCCCACACTCTGCGGAGTCCCCAGGTCCCTGGTGAGAACTGGTGGCTCCCACACTTAATCAGGAGGAGGCGCATTCGCTGACTCGGGGCTGGAGCCTGGGAACCTCTGCCTGTCCCCACCACCCTCCTGCTAACTCGGCGTTTCCGTTTCCACAGGACCTCAGCGGTGACCTTGACCCACCAGAGGCGTGAGGGAAGACGGCTGTACACCAGGGCCCCCTGCTCCTCTTACATCCTCCCGTGGTTTGTGGCTGAACGAATCCCCAAGTGTGGACGTGGTCTATCAAAACGCTCAGCAATTCTAACCAAACCAGTTGGTGGTGATGGTTTAGCCACTAAGTCGTCACTGACTCTTGGGACTCCACGGACTGTAGCCCGCCAGGCTCCTCTGTCCTTGGATTCTCCAGGCAAGAATACTGGAGCGGGTTGCCATTTCCTTCTCCAGGGGATCTTCCTGACCCAGGGGTTGAACCCGAGTCTCCTGCATCATGGACAGATTCTTTACCAACTAGCAATGAAGCCATAGTAAACAAGACCCACCCCCAATGCTTGGATGGGGCCACGTCTACCCTGCATGAGATAGAAGGCCTGAAGCTTCCTCAGAAGTTTAGAATGATGGTTCAGATGAGTGATAAGAAGATAATTTTTTTCCTATTAAAAAATGAAAAAAACTCCCCCTACAGTGTGTTTACTTTTTCTAAACTGCAATCACAGGCAAACACAATGAAATATCACCTACAGTTTTCCTCTAAAACATCAAGTCTCATGCTGTGAGTGGCAAAGCCTAAATACTTCAATTTAACGTGTATTTATCATGTATCTACTATGGGTCCAATCAACTCTGAAAAAGGTATTTTTTTTAAAGACAGCAACATGGAAGCATGGGGAGGGTGGTCTTGAGGGCGGCAATGGAACCAGGACAGACACACGCAAATGGACGTTCTGTCGAAGTTACTCTCGTGAAGTATGGAAGCCAACCCTCCTGTCTCTCAGTCACTAGTGTCTGTGGCTAATTCTGCAGAAGGTGTTTTACTTTCTGTGAGGTGTCTGCGCTGCTGACCCATGCCTTGATCCTGAGGGTCCCTGGAGGAGACGGTCCTGGGGGCCCCTGACTCTGTGGAGAGTCCTCACCTCCTTTCCTTAGCCCTGGGGCAGGCCTGACTCTGCTCACCGATGTCCAAGCTTCCTTCCCTGCCCAGACCCAGGACAGACTGTGCCCCCTACCCCCGCAGGGAAGGGCCACAGGGTCTGAATGGGCCCAGTGGACTGTGCCTGGAGGTGACAGGTGCACTTGCTATAGATGCTCTGTTCTCTAAATTCTCCTCGCCACCCCGCACGGGGGCAGGAGAAGAGGCTGAACTCCACACGATTCAGACTCAAGAAAGTGGAGCCTCTGTCCTCCTGGGGCCCTGAGAGACAGTATGGAGAAGAGTTCCTGCCAAATTGTGCAGAACCGGAAGTGAGCAGCCCTCGGATTCCACTGCTACTTGCTGCTGCAGCACAGTTTAAATCACCCCAGCTGATCCGTCCCCAGAAAGCCATTCCCCAGCTCTTGCTGCTGCAGGGAGCTCTGACACGTAGACACGGAGGAACCTGGGGCTGAGCTTGGAGTTTTGGTTTGTTTTCATTGAGTGTCCGTGGCTCCCCCAATGCCTCAGTGGTAAAGAATCCACCTGACAATGCAGGAGACCTGGGTTCAATCCCTGGGTTGGGAACAGTCCCTGCAGAAGGAAATGGCAACCCACTCCAGTATGCTTGCCTGGAGAATCCCATGGAAGAGGAGGTCTACAGTGGTGGTGGTCTACAGTCCATGGGGTTGCAAGAAGTGGGACACGACGGAGCTTGTGATGATTATATACGACATTGTCCACAGAAAGATGTGGAATTTGGTCAATCCAATTGTAGAATATTCTTGAAAGAAGACAGATGAATGCCGTCTGGAGAGTGTTTGAAGTGCTGATCTTGTGCAGTGTGAACTGGACACGCTGCGTTGTCTGTCTGTTGCTTTATGGAGGGATAGTTGATTGCAAGTGTCGTGTTAGTTTCTGTGAACAGCAAAGTGACTCGGTAATACATTTATATATATATTCTTTCCAATTATGGTTTATTATAGAATATTGAAAATAGTTCCCTGGGCTATACAGTAGGTCCTTGTTGAAGGTTGATTTTACACATGTAGAATGCGTCCAACTCCTTGCGACTCTATGGACTGTAAGCCCAACAGGCTCCTCTGTTCAAGGGATTCTCCAGGCAAGAATACTGGAGTGGGTCGCCACGCCCTTCTCCAGGGGATCTTCCCAACTGAGAGATCAAACCCACGTCTCTTCTATCTACCTGCATTGGCAAGTGGGCTCTTCACCACTATTGCCTCCTGAGAAGCCCATATTACACAGTCATGTACACGTTCATCCCAAATTCCATCCTTGCCCACTGTTCCTGTTTCGCAGCCATGACTTTGTTTTCTATGTCTGTGGGTCTGTTTCACAGATATGCTCATTTGTGCCATGTCTTAGACTTCACGTATAAATGACGTCACGTGATCTCTCTCTTTGTCTGGCTTACTTCATTCAGTGTGATAGTCTGTAGGCCCATCCATGTTGCTGCAAATGGCTTTACTGAGTTCCTTCTTACGGCTGAGTAGAAGAACTATACAATAAAGGTCTTCGTGACCTGAATAACCACGACGGTGTGGTCACTTACCTAGAGCCAGACATCTTGGATTGTGAAGTCAAGTGAACTTTAGAGAGCATCACTATGAACAAAGCTAGCAGAGGTGATGGAATTCCAGCTGAGCTATTTCAAATCCTAAAAGACGAAGCTGTTAAAATGCCACACTCAGTATGTCAGAAAATTTGGAAAACTTAGGAGTGGTTGCAGGACTGGAAAAGGTGAGTTTTCATCCCAATCCCAAAGAAGAGCAATGCCAAAGAAAGCTCAAACTACCATACAATTGCACTCATTTCACACGCTAGTGAGGTAATGCTCAAAATCCTTCAAGCTAGGCTTTAGCAGTATGTGAACCAAGAAGTTCCAGATGGTCAAGCTGGATTTAGAAAAGGCAGAGCAATCAGAGATCAAATTGACAGCATTTGTAGGATAATAAAGAA